TCCACTTCATCTGAATTGCCAAATTTATTGGTATAAAGTTGTATCCTCTTATATTTTTAATAGCTATAGGACTTGTGGTGATGCCCCTATTTTATTGCTGATATTAATAATGTGTTCTCTTAAACTTTTCCTTGATTAGCCTTGCTAGGAGGTGATTAATTTTTTGTCTTTTTGGAGATTAATAAGTTTTGCTCTTGTTGATTTTCTCGTTTTTTTGCTTTCTATTTTTATCAATTTCTGATTTTATCTTTATTTTCTTTTTTAAAAATTAATTTATTAATTTATTTTTGGCTGTGTTGGGTCTTCGTTGCTACACGCAGGCTTTCTCTAGTTGTGGTGAGCGGGGGCTACTCTTCGTTGCAGTGCATGGGCTTCTCATTGCAGTGGCTTCTCTTGTTGTGGAGCACAGGCTCTAGGCGCACGGGCTTCAGTAGTTGTGGCTCATGGGCTCAGTAGTTGTGGCTCATGGGCTCTACAGCGCAGGCTCAGCAGTTGTGGCACACAGGCTTAGCTGCTCTGCATTATGTGGGATCTTCCCAGGCCAGGGCTCAAACCCGTGTCCCCTGCATTGGCAGGCAGATTCTTAACTGCTGCACCACCAGGGAAGTCCCTTTATTTTCTTTTTAAACTGTCTTTGCAAAAATTTCCTTTCTCTCAATTTCCCTCTGAGCTCTGAATCCTAACAGTAGTTCTCAAGCCAAAGTGTCCCATTAGAGGAGTCCCAAGTCTGGAAGGAATGAACCTGCATTATTACTCCACCATGCTCAGTAGTTAGGTAGGAGTAGGTTGTGGGAAACGTGGCCTCAGTTGTGAACACACTGGTGGATCCAGATCAGTATCTGGGTTCATCAGTTAACTATGCTATGCACAGCAGGAAATCCAGTGGCACATTTTCAGAAACACCACAGTCCACTCCTTTGACCCACTGATCTATACGCTTCTTGTTGGTTTGGGGAGAAGCTCTTCCATGGTTTCCATGGGCCTCTCTTCCTGATGAGAAACTTGAAAGAGGAAGGTTAGTGGAATGAACTATAGAAATTGGTCTGGAGGCCACAGTTGATACTCATTCTCTCCCTTTTCCACTATCCACTCTAAATTCCCCTCACCCTCAGTTTTCATCTTAGCAGGTCTTGGTGGCTTATGTGGTGGTATAATCCAAACCCTTATTCTTGAGGGGACTGAGCTCCTAGTAACCACACCCTTCTTAGTCCAGAGTTGCTGCATGTGTTCACAGTTACAGTGGGGCAAGGGAGTATTAGGAGATGCCCAAGTGGATCACATGGATTCTGTAAAAAGCCGTGATACCTTCTCCTACTGATCAGGGTCAGTTATCCTTGTCATGATGGTGACTTCTCTTTTCACCTACTGGTCCCTGGAATAATGAGTCCAAAGTGCCCCAGCAGCAGTCATAGCTTACAGTTCAATGGGACCTTTGCTGTGTCCCTTAACAGGAGTGCAATCCCATTGGGGACCAGTACCTCCAGCCCTATATATCCCAGATTTGTGGGTACAGAAAGCACAAAATCCTCTAGTGGGTCATTGGTAGTAAAGGTAAATGGAGCTATTCCTGCATCCACTCCTTGGTTAGTGGACCCATGTACTTTTCCTATTGGGTTCATAAAGGCCTGGGATTTAATGTGTATAACATATCCTGAATGATAGCATCTTGTTTTTTCAGAGTTGCCTCTGCAGCATGTGGGAGGCTGGAATAATGAATAAATGAAATGAATGGCATTTCACTTGAGACTTTAGAAAGCCATTCCAGCTCTTTATCAGGTCAGCCTTTTCTGGCTGGTGCGGTACTAGGTCATGGGTCCACTCTCGTACTTCTTTTACCATGAAGCAGTTGCCCTGGTTGGATGCTATGTTATGCAGGATTCTGTGCCTGTGGATCAGACATTCCACAAATCCCAATTCAGTAATGTTGGCTGAGGATCTGTTGGTGGAAAGGAAAACCCATATCCAGAATAGCTATCTATCACTGTGAGAATGAAGCACTGGCCCCCACAGAATGGAAGGGACTCAAGGTAGTCAACTTGTCACCAAGTAGCCAACTGTCTCCATGAGTAATAGTTCCATTTTGGGGGCTCAGCATTGGTCTCTATTGCTGACATGTTGGACATTTAGGCATTAGTAGCTAGATCAGCCTTAAAAAGTTGGAGTCCATACTTTCTGGGCCCATATATAGCTTCTATCTCTACCACTGAGGCCACACCATTTATGTGTCTGTATTAGTTTCTTAGGGCTGCGTTAACAAAGTACCACAAATTTGGTGATTTAAACAACAGAAATTTATTGTCTCACAATTCTGGAAGCTAGAAGTCTGAGACCAAGGTGTCAGTAGGCTTGGTTCCTTCTGAGGGCTGTGAGGGAAAATCCGTTCCATGCTTCTCCCCTAGCTTCTTTGGTGTTCCTTGGCTTCTCCTGCATCACCCTAATCTCTGTTTTTATCTTCACATGGCATTCCCTCTGCATATTTCTGTCTTCATATGGCCTTCTGTTTATAAGGATAACAGTCACATTGAATTAGGGGCCCATCCTACTCCAGTATGATGTCATTTTAACTAACTACAACAGCAAGAACCCTATTTCCAAATGTCACATTTTGAGGTATTGGGGATTAGAACTTTAATGTATGAATTTGGGGGGGATACAATATAACCCACAACAGTGCCCATCAGGCTGGTTCCAAGGTAGCCAATGATGAAGGCTGGTAATGACAACTGCATGAGTTATTTTCTCTACTTAATTGTTTAGTACCTCTTCCCTAGTGGGTGCAAAATATGATACAAAAATCTTCACACTTCATGCCCACTCATGTATATTCACCCACAAGACTCTACCCTAGACCTTCTTGTCTTCGGTCTTCCAGTCTTTTTTCTTCCCGGCCCTTTACCAGCGGGCCAGGCCATTGACACATGCCCAAGAATCTATATATATTCTTACTTCAGTCTGTTTCTCCTTATACACAAACCAGATGACCAGGGACAATGTTTCTAACTCTACCCATTAGGAAGATTTTTCCTCTCCACCATTTTTCAAAGCTTCTCAAGTATGTGACTATAATGAGGCCACTATCTAACTTTGGCTTACATCCACATCTTAAGCTGACTCACCCATAAACCAAACTCAGGTTTTACCCCTCCTTCAGCTGGTCATGGTATTGGTGCAGTTGTGGTGGGTGACATGGGGGTCTGGACTACCTGGTCATGCAGCTTACAAGTACCTCAGTTGTGCTTGAGCTCCATCTCAGATGCACCATTTCCATCTTACAATAAATGCTGCTGGGTCCATCTGAACACCAAAAGAACCAAGGCCGTAACGGGCAGTTTTGGACACATGACTACTTGGAGTCCCACGGTTAAGTGTTCGGTTTCTACCAAGGCCTAGTATCACATTAGTAGCTGTTTCTTAAAACGTATATAATTCTCTGCTGCAGATGGCATGGCCTTGCTCAAGTTCCAGGGACTGCATTGTGATTTTTCCACTGAGGCTTACCATAAGTTCTGTCTTAAGTCAGTTTGGGCTGTTATAACAAAATACCATAGACTTTGTGGCTTAAACAACAGACACTCATTTTTTCACAGTTCTAGAGGCTGGAAGTCTGACATCAGGGTGCCAGCATGTTCAGGCTCTGGCAATCCCTTTTCCTGATTTGGAAACAGCCACCTTCTCATTCTCACTCTGTCCTCACGGGGTGGGCGGAAAGTGCTCTCTGGTATCTCTTCTTCACCATCACATTGGGGGTTAGGGCTTCAACATAAGAATTGGGCAGGGGGACAAATTCAGTCCATAACATTCCACCCCTGGCCCCCTAAAATTCATGTCATTCTTAAATGCAAAACACATTTATTCCATCCCAATAGCCCCCAAAGTCTTAACTCACTCCAGTATCAACTCTAAAGTCTCAGCTAAATATCATCTAAATCAGATATAGTGAGACTCAAGGTATGATACATCCTGAGGCAAAATTCCTCTCCAGCTGTGAATCTGTAAAATCAGACAAGTTATGTGCTTCCAAAATACAGTGGTGGGGGACGCACAGGATAGACATTCCCATTCTAAAAGGGAGAAACAGGAAAGAAGGGAAGGGGGATGCGTCCTAAGCAAGTTCAAAATTTAGCAAGAAAATTCCATTAGATCTTTAAGGTTTGAGAATAATCCTCTGGCTCAGTGCTCAGCCATCCAGGTCCAGTGGGGTGGCAGCATCACCCCCAAGGCTTTGCTGGGTAGTCCCACTCCCAAGGCTTCAGGCAGAAGCCGCCTGCCTGTCAAAACTGAGGCAGTGGCCCTGGTGATCATCTATCACTCTGTCCTGTCCAATTCAATAAATCTAACAGCCGTCCTTCATTTTTCCCCATCTCTGTCCCCTTCAGTTCAAACTGGCAGTGCTTCTGCTCATGTAATCCTGTAAACTCCTTATCAAGTGATAATCTCATCACACCATTGGTATTTGAACATGCTTTCTCATTTTTTGCAATATGGATAGGCTGAGAATCTTCCAAATCATCAAGTTCTGGTTCCTCTTTGCTTAACAATTCTTTCTTTAATTCATCTCTCTCCTTTCACATTTTACTGCTAGCAATCAGGTGAAACCAAGCCCCTCCTTCAATACTTTGCTTAGAAATCTCCTCAGCTAAACATCCAATTTTATCACTCAAATTCTACCTTCCACAAAACACTAGGACACAGTTCAGCCAAGTTCTTTACCATTTTATAACAGGGATCGCCTTTCCTCCAGTTTCCAATAACATATTCCTCATTTCTGTTTGAGATTTCACTAGATTTGCCCATAATGTCCATATTTCTAGCATGTAACTTAAAATTATTCCAGCCTCTACCCATTACCCGGTTCCAAAGCTGCTTCCACATTTTTAGTTATTTTTTACAGCTGCACTCCACTGATAGTATCTCTATTAGTCAGGGTTCTCCAGAGAAACAGAACCAATAGGAGTTAGATATAGATATAGATGTAGATTTATTATAAGGAATTGGCTCACATGATTAGAGAGGCTGAGAAGTCCCAAGATCTGCAGTCCGCAAGCTGATGACTTAGGAGAACCAATGTTTAGTTCCAGTCTGAGTTCAAAAGCCTGAGAACCAGGACACCGATGGTATAAGTTCCAGTCTGAAAGTTGGCAGGCTCAAGATCCAAGAAGAGCTGATGCTTCGGTCCAAGTCTGAAGGCTAGAAAAGACCAACGTCCTAGCTATGCAGTCAGGCAGGAGGAATTCCCTTTTACTCAGCTTTTTTGTTCTATTCAGGTCTTCAATTGATTGAATGAGGCCCACCCACATTAAGGAGGGCAATCTGCTTTACTCATTCTACCAGTCCAACGTTAATCTCATCCAGAAACACCCCCCACCCCAACACACCCAGAAAATGTTTGACCATATTATTTGGGTACTCCATGTCCCAGTCAAGTTGACATAAAATTAACTATCACAAGCTCCAAAATGCATCTTTTCCCACTCTTGACACCTCTAATACAAAAGAGTCTACTGGAATATATGGCCAAGTGGCAGAGATGCTTGTACAGGAGCCTGGACCTTCTGAAGAGCCCTTCTCCTGTTCTGGGCCACAAAGCTGGAAATCTTCAATACTACCTGGTATATGGGCTGGAGCAGTATTCCCAGGTATGGAATGTATTGCTCCAGAACATAAAGAGAACTACCAAGCTCTGTGAATTCTCTTTGTGGTAGGGGATGCAAGATGCAACAATTTGTTTTTTACTTGGAAGGATATACTACTAGCACACCTCTAACCAGTGGACCCTTAAAAATTCACCAAAGTGGCAAGTCCTTGAATCTTTGTAGCATTTTTCTACTCTCTGGAGCACTGGTCTTACCAATACCTCCAGCATACTAGCCACCTCTTGCTTGTGCTTGTCTGACCAGCATAATATTATTTATGTAATGGGTCAACTACTGAAGCCTGCAGTAGTCTACAGTCATTCTCCAGGATCCATCTGCAAGGGCCAGACTGGCTAATTAAGTGGAGACATGATAGGGACCATCCTCCCTCCACCCACATTCTTTAGGTCTTTAATGGTGGCACTAATTTCCATTATGCCCCTGGTATGTGATATTTGTTTTTTTAATTCACTATGTTGGCCAGGGGTGGGTGTTTCCACTTGGCCTTCCCCACTATGATAGCTCTTACTTCACACAGGTCAAGGATTTAATGTAGGTAGGTATCACTCCAACCGCCAAATATATCAATTCCAATTACACACACAGGAACCGGAGAAATCACCATCGGGTGGGTGCATAGACACAATGGACCCACTGTAAGCTGGACTTTAGCCAGGACCCCATTTACTACAAGGCCCCCATAAGCCCCCACTCTAACAGGGGCCACAACAATGCTTTGGGTCTCAGGGTACTGATGTCAACTCAGACTCTGAGTAAATTTTCTGGTTATTCCTCTTCCCCAGTGTGTACAGTCACCAAAGTAAATGGCCACAGGTCTCTTTGGGGAAGGACTGAGGAATCATTACATGTATACTTGCTACAGTGCTGCAGGATCTGCCACCTCTTAAGTCAATGGGTTTCAGATCTGAAGAGTGGCTCAAATCCAGACACTGAACAAGGGATAATGACTTTTGGTGCAGTGCGGGGGAACCATACTCAGGCTCTTGCTTCTCCATTTTGGCCTCTTTTTGGTTGTAGATGTTAACTTTGCCCCTAGAGATGCCAAGTTCTATATCCATCTCCACAATTCGCTGTGGGTCAGGCCCCCTTGGTTGCCACTCTTGTCAGATGTTGTTGGTCTTTGTCATAATTGTAGCCTCCTGGCTTCTGGTGACTAAGTGCCACCATCTGGTCTCTCTTACTTGGGGGAAGGCGAATATCATTCCCATAGTTATTAATGAGCCCCAGCTCTGTGACTGTTTCTACTGTCAGCCCAGGCAGCAGAGAACTTCTTGGTGATGCTCTTGCCCCTCACCAAATTTCTGATGGCCTCAGTGAATGGTGTGTTTTCTGGGCCTTCCTGTTGAACATAATCTTCTGATGGGTCTTCTGGCTTCACACACCTATTCCTGCATGCCCACTTTCCTGTCTTTTTTTTCATTCTTGTACCATATGCCAGGGCAACTGGGGCATTTCTACTTTACTCAGCATTGGCCGTCACTTTCTCTAGGTTTCTAAAAGCCTCCCAGCAGTGAGTTTTTTTCATCCCCAAGAGTTCTTGCCAGGGTGTTAAATCCTGTGCCTCAAGAAAGTGCTCCCAATTCAATGAATTCCTGATTGTCTAGTCTTATATTCCAGCCACTTTGATCAAGCAACCTCAAATTTCAATTGCAGGGTACTCCCCTGGCTTCTGTCTACATATGCGAGCTAATTCTTACAGCTTTTTGTATTTAATCTCTTTCCTCTGTTATCAGGCCCAGTATGTTCTCAGCTGGGTTTTTTTTTTTTTTAATATAAATTTATTTATTTATTTTTGGCTATGTTGGGTCTTTGCTGCTGCGTACAGGCTTTCTCTAGTTGTGGCAAGCGGGGGCTACTCTTCCTTGCAGTGCACAGGTTTCTCATCGCGGTGGCTTCTCTTGTTGTGGAGCATGGGCTCTAGGCGCACTGGCCTCAGTAGTTGTGGCACATGGGCTCAGTAGTTGTGGGTCGCGGGCTCTAGAGTACAGGCTCAGTAGTTGTGGTGCATGGGCTTAGTTGCTCCGCAGCATGTGGGATCTTCCCGGACCATGGCTCAAACCCACATCCCCTGCATTGGCAGGCGGGTTCTTTTTTTTTTCTTTTTTTTTTGTGGTATGCAGGCCTCTCACTGTTGTAGCCTCTCCTGCTGCGGAGCACAGGATCCAGACATGCAGACTCAGCGGCCATGGCTCACAGGCCTAGCCGCTCCGCAGCATGTGGGATATTCCCGGACCGGGGCACTAACCCATGGCCCCTGCATCAGCAGGCGTACTCTCAACCACTGTGCCACCAGGGAAGCCCGGCAGGCAGATTCTTAACCACTGCACCACCAGGGAAGTCCCTCAGCTGGGTTTTGTTAGGACTTAACTCTAGTTACTGGCCTGGCAGCCAGGACAGGAAGTAGGGGCAACTTCTATGTTGCCTCATGGGGCAGTGGCTCTGCAGTGTCTTTCAGCATGCAGAGAATAATACGAAGAGGTGAACCACCTCTGCAAACTTTGTAAGTTCATGTGGGTTTGCAGAACTAACATCCTTACAGATGTCCATCCAGAAGTCCTATCCCTTGTTTCAGGGTTTCAGGTTTTTGCAACCAGGGCCCTGACCTCCTTTGGTTGCACATTTAAATGTCTTTGGAACTCTGTTGCCTCTATCACGACCTGAGTCTGTGGCTTAACTGTGTCAGCTCTTCCACTATAGGACATAAAAGCCTCTTTGTAAGCTACTAAAGAGGTTTTCTGTCTCTCACACTTAGGCATTAACCCAGGGAGAACCCTTGCTTTCTCCTTATTCCTTTTCAGAGTGTCAATACAACTTAGCAGTAACCAGCCAACTCCACTGTCCTTGTAGGCATGTTCCCACTCATATATTTCACATGCCTGAAATTCTATCTGCAAGGGCTTTCTCCTCCACTGGGATGTTTTCCCAGGTCACTACTGATTAAATCTTTAGCAACTGGGTCACCACCTTGTGCTAGGAGCTACCCATGCCCCTATACTGCTCAGGATAGCATCGTCTTTGCTTATGAGGTAATGAGTGTGCCAGTCCTGAAATTTCAACTTATTATGTTTTCTTGGACCTCTCCTGGTACCACTTGCGCTAGTTTGGGCCCTCTGAGAGGCAGTTGCCAAGGTGGGATTTGACATGTGTATTAGCCAGGGCTGCCATAACAAAATACCACAGGCTGGGTGGCTTAAACAATAGAAATTTATTTCTCCTTTATTTCTGGAGGCTAGAGGTCCAAGATCAAGGTGTCAACAGGTTTGGTTTCTTCTGAGGCCTCTGTCCTTGGCTTGCAGATGGCCACCTTCTCACAGTGTCCTCACATGGCCCTTCCTCTGCATGTCCTCTGCAAACATGCCCCTGGTGTCTCCTTATGTGTCCAAATTTCCTCTTCTTATAAGCAATCAGCCGAACTGGATTAGGGTTCACCCTACCTAACACCTTCATTTTAACTTAATCACATCTTTAAAGGACTCATCTCCAAATGCAGTCACATTCTGCAGTATTGTGGGTTTAGGGCTTCAACATATGGATTTTGGGAAGGACACAATTCATAACAACATGCAAGATATTTTTAGGGGAACTATCTGTGAAAGATAAAAGGGAAGGGAGCAAGGGAAGGTGGGAGAGTCTGCAAACTGTGACTCAGGCCTGACACCTATGAAGGAGAGGGAAAAGAAAGGATTGAGAGTAGGCAGGGTCTCAGACCACAGCACAATTGGAAGAAAGTTCAAGCTAGGATGATGGGCTCTCCAGCCAAAACTGCCCATCAGAGACCCAAACATTACAGCAATGAAGCACATTAGCCATGTTCAGTCATTTATAAGTTAGACAGTTACAGGAACATAAAGAATTCAGTTTGGGGATCAGTTCTTACTGGTTTCTCCAGTAGTGTCTCCAGTCCACCCTGACCATTCTGCCACACTTTATTTTGCTCCAGGAGGCATGTGCCTAGCTCTCCGAGATGTTTATACACCTTTCTCAGTTTCTGAATCTAGCTCATTCTCTCATGCTTTACTCCATTCCTTTCCTTTCTGTCTTCTGTGGCTCATTTTTTCAGAGGGACACCTGGTTCAACTTTTAATGAAGCATTTATTGAATGGAATTGATTATAGGCAAGAAACTATACTAGGTGCTGGATTTTTTTTTTAATTTATATTTTTTCTGCGTTGGGTCTTTGTTGCTGCACGCAGGCTTTCTCTACTTGTGGCAAGCGGGGGCTACTCTTCATTGCAGTTCATGGGCTTCTCATTGCGGTGGCTTCTCTTGTTGTGGGGCACAGGCTCCAGGCGTGCAGCCTTCAGTAGTTGCAGCACGCGGGCTCAGTAGTTGCAGTGCAAGGGCTCAAAGGCATGCGGGCTTAAGTAGTTGTGATGTGCAGGCTCACTAGTTATGGCTTGTGGGCTCTAGAGCTCAGGCTCAGTAGTTGTGGTGCACTGGCTTAGTTGCTCCGCAGCATCTTCTGGGATCTTCCCGGACCAGGGATCAAACCCACGTCCCCTGCATTGGCAGCCGGATTCTTAACCACTGCGCCACCGGGGAAGTCCGTAGGTGCTGGATTTTTATTCCATAATGGTCCACTTTCTTGGGAGAAACCAAGATTTCCCTTCTTATCCACAATGAGAGCTACCTGTGGCTCCCTTTCACTTATGATATATAGGGCACAAACACATTTACCCAGAGGAGTCTACATTCAAATAATCTTGTGAGACATTCACCACCACATCTGATATGAGTAAGGGCTGCAGAGCACCTTGCATCCCTGGGTGTTCAGGAAATACTATTATGCTCAAGTACCTATATAGGTACATAGGTAATATTTATGTAGGTATATAGGTAGTTACTATATATTAATTTCAAGAGAACTTCAAAAGAGAGGGCATACTGAAATTAACTAAAATTTTTTAATAGAAAGGGCACATTAAGCTGACCAGAAACTAAAGGATACCATTCCTTTCTCAGAAATCTAAAAGGTCCCTGAGGATTGCCACTTGGAATTTCTCCTCAGTTTTATTGGTGCCAAACTTCTTATTGGCTAGGGACCACAAAACGAAATTCCTGTTGAATTCATGAGGGAAAGAAATAAATGTTGGGAAAAACAGATGTCAATACCCAAAAGGCTTATTTCTACATTTCCCCTACCACTGAATTGCCTTGGTCATTTACAAACCTAATCTAAGGCTAAGTTATGAACTTAACTTGAGAGAGACAGGCCTGGAGAGGTTAAGGCCTTGACCAGTGGTATATCTTTAACCAGAATCGGAACGCTTGCGTTTCCCTTTCAGTCATACACTGCCCACTAAATGACTTCCTAACTGGTTATCTTTCTGGAACACATAATTCATTTACAGTCTTTCTATGAAGCTGTGAAGTTGCTCTCCTACGCTTAGGGAATGGAAGCATGAAGCACAAAAAAGACGGCACCTTCAGCTAATTCATGAATAACAGAAAAACAGTGAACAATTTGAATCCCACATCCAGAGCTCTGGGTCACCAGGTCGAAAGCCTGTACTGGGGGCAGCGGGGAGAAATGGAAGGAAATGCTGGTAAAATTACCTTGACCGTGCGGAAACTTAAAGACTTTCCTACCGACTAGAACTCACCAACTTTTCTCAACAAACGAGCCATGAGAGAGGTGCGCTGAAGCGACTGGACTCGCCCCCGGCGCCCGCTCAGACGCACCGGAGCGCACCTCATCACCTCCCAGGTCGAGTCCTGGAGGCCGTCACACAGCACCTGGAGGAAGTCCGCGCCGGAGCCGGAAAAGCGAGGAGTCCCGCCAAAGGCCGGGCAGGTGAAGAGCGAGGAGAGACTGGGGCCAACGTGCTCTGGCGGGGATTGCGGGAGTCGGCGAGGGACCTATCAAACCAGGGTTCAGACAGACCGACTCTCCATACAAGTTCCCCAGTTGCCAATCTTGGGATGGCTTCACAACGTCTCTAAAACGTGAACTCTCACCACACACCTACCGTTCCGAGCGCCCCTAGCAACCACCAGCAATTAAAAGCGGAAGAACGACCTTTGTCCCGCCCTCTCTGGAACTACCGAGGCCGGGCGGGGGAAGCGCGTTGGCCCAGTCACCTCGGCGGGAACTCCGACCAACCAATAGAAGGCAGGTACAGGAGGGCGGGCTGAAGGGGTTGCGAGCGCACGCGCAGTTGGTAACGGAGACTTGGCTGTGTGGCGGTGTGGGTGAGTTGGGTGCAGGTGGACTCGTCTTGGCCCTCAGAATCCCCGAGTGGCCGCTGCCGCTTTCTCCTGCCCTTACCATGTTTCTCACCCGGTCTGAGTACGACAGGTCTGTGTGGTTGGGGGAAATGGGGTGGAAGTTACGGGTCGGCGGGCCCGGGGCCCGGTCTGGGCCTGGGTTCTGCCGTGTCATGGGGGCGCCCCAGGATCCCGAGTCTGGCCCGGCCCGGGGATCTCTCGCCTTCCCCAGCCGCCCGCTGTGATTCCCCAGGCTAGAGTTGCGCCTGTCAGCCGCACTTGTCCTGCCGCTGAGTCACTGCTGGGTCCGAAGTCGGTGCGGAAGCGTGAAGCTCCGCTTTGTGCTTGGGGAAAGGCGGCTGGCGCGCCGCGACTCCGACCTTTAACCTGGAAAGGCCAGGAGTCACCCCTTCTCCCCTTCATCTTTTTGTGCTGAGTGTGACTGCCTTTTTAAAAATGTAAACGTGTGCCTGGAAGAAAAAGCAATTAGAGATCACTTAATGGGTTTGATCATTTCAGCTCCCTTTTCCTTCTAGGAGCACAACCTCGTTTTCCGTTTCTTAGCTGTGGGAACAGAGCAGCCATTCCTTTGATTGAGGTGTAATGGGGCGTGATGTGATGTATAGTTTCTGCAGAAGCGCGAAGGAAGTCTCAGCTTTGCCCAGATATAGTGTATGGTGTCTGATTTTATGGGAACTGGAGTTTAGAGTGTTCTCAAGAGTTTTGTCATCATGCTGATTCAACTAGACCCAGGCTTTTCTGACTTTTTAAACAGTTTAAAGCAAGTTACTTTAAATGTGTGTTGCAGCCAGATCTGTTTTTGAAATCAAAGCTGTGAGGTTGTTGTATTTGTATAAAACAAAAAATCTTTTGAGAGCTTGGAAATGTTAAGTAATATTAAATTGTACATACTTATGCTGTAGACATTTTTACTTTCAGTTTCTGTTTTGATCAGTTACGTTTCACATAGCTATTGTTTTTTTTAAATTTTAAAGCCAGGAAAGGCAGATGTTTTCTTTGTACTAGATGGCTTGAGAAGCTGCATTTCTTGTCAAGTATATGTTGAACCTGTCAAAAGTTTTATCAGTTAGAACTACCACTTTAAGAAAAAAATCCTTTTACTGACTCATAGAAGATGTATGTGAGGTTTTAAAACTGACTCCTTAAAAAAAAACAAACAAAAAAAACGGACTCCTTTTCCTACTGTCCTATAAAATAACTTTGTTAGTCAGTATTTAGCTTCCAGAGCATTGGAAAGAGTCATCTTTGGGTGATATAATTTTGAGTAAGGGGTGTGTATGATGGAAATTGTTATTCTTATCAGAAAGCCTTTATTAAGGTTTTTGTGATCATTTACTTAACATCTTTATTAACTGCTTTGTGATACTCATTTTTGTATCTTCCTAAAGAATGCCTGAAACAGTCCTTTTTTATTCACTTAGCTAAGGTACTTGAATGCTTGTCATATGGCAGTGAACAATATCATGATCCTTTTTCTCATATGGGAGACTGTCCTTTAAAGAACTATTTACAAAAGTAACTATAGTATAATTCAGAAATGTGTTCATGTCATTAGAGAAGCTCAAATCAACACTATGGGAGTTTGATGAGAGAGATTGCATTCAGTATTAGGGTATTATGGAAAACTTCAAAAGGAGCTGATATTTAAACTGAGCCTTAGGAACTTCCCTGGTGGTTCAGTGGCTAAGACTCCGCGCTTCCAATGCAGGGGGCCCGGATTCGATCCCTGGTCAAGGAACTAGATCCCACATGCATGCCGCAACTAAGAACCCACATTCGGCAATGAAGATCCCACTTGCTGCAAATAAGACCAAGCACAGCCTAAATAAATTTTAAAAAACGTAAATAAACTGAGTCTTAGATGTAAGGTTTTAATAAATATGGAGAGTGAGAGTGAATAGTTTTGAGGCAGAGAATATAGGATGAACAAAGGAGGGGCAGTGGGAAAGCATACATAGTGTTTGCGAAAATTCTAGTCTGCTGGCACATATGATACACATATGGGAATGGGGGAGATCTGGGAAAACACTATGGTGCTAGATACTGGATGGTTTTTAATATGAGATTGAGAAGTTTGGGTCTTATTTTGTAGGCATCTGTGTGGCATAAATTATAATTTTAAGAAGTTACATAATCATAATTGTGTTGTATAGAGATTAATTGACTGGATTAGAGGAAAGAGAATCAGTACCAGTTAGAAGGCTATTAAAATACTCAATGCCCTCATTGGGCATTGAGAATGGAAGGGAGTGCCGAGTTACTGTGTGGGGGGTGTGGGGGGAACTGATTTGATATGACTTGGCATATTGTTAATTATGGGAAAAGGGGAGGAGTGAGTCAGATCGTTCAGAACTTTATAGTTTGGGGAACTGGGAGATGCGAGGTGTTTTAAAGTAAAAATGAAGTAGGAATGGCAGGAGATGTAGCTGATTTTGCAAGGGTGACTGTATATTTCAGACTGGAAAATGTCAAGTGTTTGGCACTAATGGGATATCCAAATGGAAATGCTCAGGAGGCTTTCAGATTAATCAGGAGAGAGGTCAAACTGGTAATAGAGATTTGGAAGTAGTTAGTGCTTGACATGAATGAAATAACCCAGAGAAAGTTTGAAAACAGGGCCAAGAGCAGAGCCCACATTAGGAAAGACTTAGTAATACCTCAACAGGATGAAGTTCCTGAATTAGGGTGAAAATACTGTATTCGTATTCACATAGTACTTTACACTTTACAAAGTGCTTTCATAATCTGTGCAATTTAATACCAATTGTATTATGACAGAGGCAGGATAGATTGTTTTTTTTTCATTTGAGCTAATTAAAGTTAGTAAGTGGCAGAACTGGAATTTAATCCCAGGTATTCTGCCCTCGGACTTTCCTCTCAGTGATTTTTAAAAGCTGTTTCTTAGAGTCCTAAATTTCCTTTTAAATGACATTAGGGATAGTACCTCTGGGGAAAATGGGAGGCTGGAATGGTGAGATTCTCTTTTGACTCCTGATAGTTGAAAGCTTGGTCTTAGATTGCCTAAATTCTCATTCCAGTTCTGCCTCTTATATGCTGAGTGACTTTGGGCAAATTAGTCAACCTCTTTGTGTCTCAACTTCCTCATCTCTAAAATAGTATCGCTTTAGAATACTATTTCATGGGATTGTTTTGAGAATTAAGTGTGTTGTCATTTAAAGGTTTGCAACAGTGCCAGGCATATAGTACATATTCAGTAAATGTCAACTTGTATTATTATCTGTTTTATATTTGGGATATATATATATATATATATAATATTTCTTTTTTAAAAATAAGAGGTTTTGATAAAACAAATTTGAAAACAGTGCTCTATATCATCTTACACGTTATAAACTCCAGACTCCATAAACCAAGGAGCACAACTATTTTCATTCATTTGTTCAAATATTCTTAAAGTGTCCATTGTGTGCGGAAAGCTTTTATAGCTAAGACCATGATGCCTCTTCTCCAAAGGGATTTCTAACAGATGAGCAAGGAAAGGTTGGGAATTGTTTAAGGGAGAAGAGTAGTCTGGCATGTATAATGTATTGAGTGAATTAACTAGGTTAGGCTTTAGGAGCTACAACAGATCTCAGTCTGTTGTTCAGATAACAATACTAATTCATACAAATAAATAGAGAAATGTCCCTGTGGCTGACTTTTACTAAAAAGTAAGATATTAACATCAAATTCACGTAATGGGAAGAGGATAAGGATAAATGCACATTTTCTTAGGAACTGCCTGATAGTTTGGGGGCATGAATTTACCAGAGGGATTCCAAATTGATTCAAGATTGAGGCAGAAAGTCACCTGCTTTCATTTGATCAGTTTGAAGATACTATGGGAGTGGGGCAGAGGTGTTCTATGTATAGGTTCCATTCTCTTGAAGACTGTTAATGTACCAAAAAACAGCTACAGATTGTTGTGGGTAAAGGAGCATAAAGACAGTGTGTACATCTTGTAGCCATCTGAGCTAGATGTCAAGGAACTTGACTTTAGTGTCTCTATGCTTATTTTTTCTGACAATTTTAATACCTTTTTCTTTTTTTTTTTTTTTTAATTATAGGGGTGTGAATACTTTTTCTCCTGAAGGAAGATTATTTCAAGTGGAATATGCCATTGAGGCTATCAAGGTATAGTATCAAGTGGGGTAGTTTTTGAAATTTCATGGCAACTTAGTACTTTGCTGGCAGAACAGTTGGAGTAAATGTGTTTTAGCTATTCCTTTAGAAAATGTTCTTTATCTCCCTTTAATCAACCACAGTTAACCTTCTTTTTAATTTTATTTTTTTAATTGAAGTATGGTTGATTTACAGTGTTGGGCATAATTAACCATTTGTATAACAATTTCAATCCCATTCCTAACAACTACTTTGGAACTTTTTAAACAAATAACTGCTTCATAGTTATGTAAGTAGCTTTTTCTTAGTGGGGTTGGAAGGACATGTTTGTGTTTATAATCTTGGCTATAAAGAAAGGGGTCTAGAATTCCTGAGTTAGCACCTGGGAGATATTTTATCATCTTGAACAAATCATTTAACTGATCACCTGTATTCTTGTTGGTAAATTTGTCAATTTGTACTAGACATTTTTGGGTCTGAATTAGAGATGTGTCCTGTAATCTAACAACAAAATCAAATAGTTCAAACCAGTATTCAAAAAATTAGTTAGAAAGTAAGCTATTTATACTAAAGTTAGTTATGTGGGATCTTCTATTTGTTGGATTATGGATAATCTAAATTCTGCTTTAGATCTAAATT